CTTATCAAAGCTGCTACTTAGATATGCCGCAGAATAATTGCTTTGTATTTGTTTCGTAGAAAATTGTATTTAAATGAATTATTTTAAGTCATGATATGCTAGGAAAAGTTGAGGTCTTTCTCCGTACTATGATTGATAGGAAAGGGGTACCTTACCATTATACATTAGATCATTTTACCGCAAGTGAGACGGTATGTTACCTATACAAAATCTAATGGACAAGAGGAAATTGTAGTTAATCGTTATTCCATACTATAATCTATTACTGAGCCAAATTTCATTCGCATCCGTTCAGTAGTTTTTACGCGAATGCGTCATAAATATCTGTCTTGGTACTATTATTATTGTCTTCACTTCCTTTATCTTTTCAGAGTTGTCAGTAATAAATAATTCCAACAGAGTTCATTTAAAATGTAAGCAAATACGTATGAAACACCCGAAAATAGTATTTTTGATAAAAACAAAAGATAACAAAAAATATTATTCAAAACAAAACAAGATACCAGGCAGCGAAATTACCGATAAACACTCATACCATTTCTCATTACCATAAGTACTACAGATACATTTTAGGCTGCCATCACCCTTAATGATGATTTGCAAGAGAATTTTATTGTGTAAAGCAAAAACATTGGACGGCCCGTGTACCTATTAGCCGGTATTACACACTGCAGGCTCGACGCTTCGTGGGAAACTACGCAACATTATATTTCGGAGTACGCACAATCATGATCGAGTTGGAAATAATTCTCTTGTTGCATATACATACCTATATACGAGTACTTTGAACAGCCATATCATGTTGTATATAGATGAGTAATTTTTAAATCATAATGAAAGAAAGAAAAAAGAAAGAAAGAAAAACATTTATTTTCGCACACACTTAAAACAAAAATACAAAAAAAGAAGAAAATAAAATAACACTAACAATCTAAACTAAATGATACATATAAAAATTAAATGACTTAAAAAAATTAATAATGAATTTATTGTTTTCGATTTAATAAAACTAAATTGTGTTTTTAGTGTGTAAGATCCATTCATGTTTTAGTGTACATATGTATCTTACCTATATAAAAATAAATTGCAAAATATGTTGGTAAGTGCTTAACTCAAAAACGCAAGGATCGATTTTGATAATTCTTTTTTTGTTGTGTTTATTAATACTAGGAAAAGATTGTTATGAAATAAAATAAAAATAAAAACATTGAAAAAGTAGAGGGTTGAATAGGGAAACAGACCTAATCATAATTAGGTACTGTTTCCCGATTCAAAGCTCTACTTTTTTTAACGAATAAATTATAGTTTTTTACATGTGTGAAGCAGGGGCAGGGTCTTAGTTATTTTATACTTTCTATCCGGTATAGTTCATTTAAATCGATCAGATAAGTTACCATTAAAAAAATATAAACCTAAATTTCATATTATATAATAGGTACATACCTACCAATTTAAATAGTACCTACATACAGTTTTAACTCGATATTCATTTGACGCTTATATAACATCAAAAAATATCCCGAGTAAAGCATAATAACTATATTTATATTAATAATCAACCGAGTACAATAGACTACTATGGCAATCAGCTATGTGTGGTGGACAGGCACAATAGCTATCCAGACTTCAAGTAGCAGGTCCTCAATCTCAACCTTAATTATGTGCCTAATTACATAAATATAAATGTTTTATGTAAGTATTCATACATATATATTATACGTATTTGTCTCGTATCTCATACTTACAAAATTAAGTCCGTTTGCTTGCTTCTTGCACCAACCATGCATTCATCTCTGCATCACCCAGGGCTCGACTGATAGAAAATGCCTAAGGCATTAAGTCCGCATACGTTCATGAAGTTATTAATAAATATTATTAAATAAATTAATACTCAGTTATTATTAATCCTACACACGAAGAACATAAAATCCTATGCCTATACATGCCTATATACTATAAATGCCTATTGATGTCTGTGCACATACGTACAAATCTGTAATTTATAGCATTTTGGAGCATAGGTATTATTATAGTTAGGAGTGCGAGTTTTCCTTGTTATTGTTATTAAATAACTGATCACATATTTATGGTTGAATCTTGATTGTATTGCTTGTTGGAGTATTCAAAGGAAAAAAAATTAATTAACTAATATAGACATATAATACATTATTATATAACACTCAAATACATACATAGTTAGGTACTACTACACTTGTATGTTATGTACTTATCTTTAGGGCCTTAAACATAAAGAAACTTATTCAGTGTACGGGTGGTAACCTCTAATAATCATAAAAAACTTCTAGCTTGCATGTACTATGGTCAGCTACTATGGTCATTTTATATCTATAATTGTAAAAATAATAGTCGGTCGATCAAAACGGTTCGATAAGATCTCTTCCAATTCGAGAATGTTTGCCAACCATTCAATCTTCGGTTCAACAAATTAATGGTTGCCGGCGTTCGGCGCGGTCGGTGTTAGGAGGCGGATACCCACACAGATGAGAGGCGTAAGGAAAGGCAGTTTCGGTGTGGCACGACTTGAAGCGGCGCGGGGGCGCGGAGAGCGCATGCGCAGGTCAGAGAGGCCGTGAGAACGTGCGCGCGCGTCGGGTTCCCAGGCACGCGCCAAGCAGCGCGCGCGCGACCAACGCACGCCAGCCAGCAGTCGAGAGTAACATTTGATTGGACTTGTAATTTGGAAAGTAGTCGTTAAGTAAGTGTCGATATTTTAGCTTAATCGTTAGATTGATAGTATGAGTATTGAATGACGAACAACCGTTATTAAGAAAAAACACTACGTACCTAAGAAAGCTATATTATAGCTATATTATAAAGCTATATTATATATAGCTATATTACAATTGATAAATTATGAAAAACTTGTCTGTAGCAATAAGTATCGAATTTCACAGACCTTAATCACACAGCCACACAACATTCATTTTTCACTTCGAAGCTCCATGAGACCGCAACTAAGGTGTACTAGATCACAGTAGGGAGTCGGTACGGGTCGCCGCGGTCGTCTCGTCTCGTGGGACCGGTGCTAGAGGTGAAACGCGACGTGCATACCCCGCGAGCCTGAACGAGGAATCCACCTTGTTACATCGCGCTGAGATACCGCGGAAATTGTACAGTCGAAATAGGGACGGGTGTGTTGCCGTGCAGATAAATAATTTTCAAAAACAGAATATCTTATATAAAACGATAGATTTCTTATTGTACATATTGTTAGAGAAATATATAGTTAGTATAGATAGTTGGGTATTTGAATTTTTCTACAATACACTAAATAAAATAACAGTTTTAAGCTTTCGTAAAGAAACACATGAGTTCAAGATGTGCATATATTGATATAGTTACTAAGTGCAAGTTACACGCCAGAAGATAGTACCTTTAAGAATTTTCCAATTAAGTAGCAGCTACCTACAATACCTATACACTACATCTATCCGCAACGGCATAAATATGTACCTAAATTTTATTCATATACATAATTACCTTCTCATATGTATGATACAAGTTCCCTTTAATTTCCTTAGCATCTTGCCACGATATTTCTCCATTCAGTCATGCAGTCACGTCGTTTGGCGGCGACGGGCGTCATTTCTAATTTATGCACGGTCGTGCGCAGCTCGCCTACCGCTCGCGCCGCGACGCACGCGCACCTCCGGGAGGGCTGCTACACATACCTGCATCAAATATGGCTGCCTACATCTCTACCTGACTGCTTTACGGCCGGATTTATGATCCTTTTATTGCTTTTGCAAAAATTTTTGTTCTTAGGCGGATTGGTCAAGTTGAAGGATTTGTTTAATGTCAGCCTTTATGATACCTAATTCTCAGGTATTGACCGAGTTATACCCTCTTTTGAAAGATTTGTCCAAATAAAAAGTATCTTGAAATTATAGGCTCTATTTAAGATTAAAGCGATAAGTCTTCCAGGCTTAAATCTAATTTAAAAATCTTGATAATTCATCTTACATGCCATCGAATCCTCTGAGATTCTTTTATGTCTTTTAGGGTCGCTCAACCGTGATTAGTTACGACCCAAAATCCGCGGAGCATCCCTGAGTCGTGACGCGCAGACTCGACCGAGAATTAGATCCTGCCGCCTCTCTATAAGTCAGTAATCGCCAATCAATTTTGATCTCCCGAAACCAGATAAAGCGTGTATTGTTCTGGGTCTTTTTAAAATGGATGGAGAGTACAAAGATCGCACGTGTGGCGATGCGTGAGGACTCTTCAGTCACGGAGCGTTCAAACATTCTGTTCTATAGTGACGCTGTGGCTGACGCTAGTGCACTGATTGATGTGTTTGACTTGAAATGTTTATCGTTCTAAGAAACTGCAGCGTGAAAAGGTACTTTAGTCGCACAATGCATCCTTATAAAGGAGATAGTGTGGTAACATAAGTAGCGGCTTGTTCTTGACATTTTGAAGAGGATTAAAAGACAGGTTTCGATAATGTTATCTTCGTACAGTATGGTATTAATTCTACGCATAATGTCAAAGGATTATCAAAAAAAAAATAAAGTTAATAATAAAAGCAAATCTTAGGAACACCCAAGCGGATGTTTGAACGAAAATTCCTAAATCCGAAGCCCAGCCGGTCATCATGTGATGTCTGAAATTATCCGAAGGTAGAATGTCTGATCTCCTAGAGCTAAGGGTTCAATTTGAAGCGCAGCCTGTAGAATTAAACTTGAGTCGTGATGATACAACGTTAATACCAGTAGCCGCTGCGCTTACGCCACGAATTCTGGGTTGCCATGCTCAGAATAATGTGCAAATGAAATGGTAAATAATTTTGTGCTAACAATTTTTTTATGCACTTCTCGCATCTTTTTAGAGCTTTGATTTAAGTGAAGCAGACAGTTTTCTGATCGAACGAATGAAATTGACTTTGACATCCGACAAATTATGTCGAAATTTATTTCGATGGTACCTGCTGTTGAGTTTTCTATTTATTTGATTCGACTAACGTTTGTGCAATTAGTTCATTTAAAGAAAGTTATATCCTGTGGAGGTAAAATTGGAAAAAGCTGTAATAAAATACATATATAAATTTGTAATATTAAAGTGGCAACATTAATTACAAAAGGATTCCGCAACAAAGTTTGCACCCGTTCATTACTGCACAAAATTACCGTGGAGTCGCCAGTAGCTGGATGCGTGTTAGAATTATACCTATCCCGAGATAATCAGCATCACCAATTCTTGTTATGTTGAATGACTCGACTGTAAAGATTTCTGTTTCTTATACCTAAATTCATATTGATTATGAACTTTAAAGTAATTACGAGAAGGTTCGTATTTGCGTTATTTTTGCAATATTTTTTGTTTTATATTATATTGAACTCTGAAGGCTGTACTTGAATAGAAACATACATATTTTGTATAGTTATTGGATGTTAAGATACCAAGTTCTTATAGTTTACTCTTTAAATATTAGAATTCTTTACTTTTTGTATCTGATGACTTATAAATCTTAGCATTTTCTCCTATGTCGTGAATACGTTTACAAAAATACAAATTCACATACACATCGCACCCAGACCCGAAACAACAATCTGTGGATGACTCAAAGAGTTGTTCCGTGCGGGAATCGAACCAGCGAGACGTTGCGCGCCAGTAGCCAGTTGCCCAGCCATGGCAACAACCGTGCAGTCGGTTGTGCAACAGCTGATCGCTTGCTATCCGTCTACCATCGATGCCACGATAAATTAAATGCAGATATCTTGCATATTAAGTTACTACCTTCCTCAGCATATTTCCTTTAGATTTCATCATTTGACAAAACGTTTCTAATGCTGTAGGTACTTGTCCGCCTGAATAGTGGAAGTTGCACAAGTGTGCAAGGAGGCGTATCTAATAGTAGGTATGCAGTAGCTGTGCCCAGTCAATCATAGTCTTTGACAAACACTTTCCAAGTCTCGATAAACGACGGGCGGTACTCAATGTTGAGACATACACACCTGATGAAACATCCTGCTCACTATTATTATTATTATTGTCTGTTCGTTTCCTTTCACGGGATCACAGGGTCCCGGTCATTTGGAAGGCGTACGAGGAGCCGAAGCCAACTCGCAGAGGCCCGTTGAACAATTTTAATATAAATGTGATGGGACATCAGCCAGCAATTGTCCCTATGTGCACTATAAAAGTGCACCCAAGGACAATCCCCGGTTGATGCAGGATTAATTTGGTTTTTAAAGCTTTGTATTCATCATTATCATCCATACATTATGCTGATGGCAAAGTAGACTGCAGTTGTCGTTGTTGTGTCATGAGAACAGATTATGGGTCTTCAGATTTGACAGAGTAGCATCACTCTCTCAAAATCAAGTGTGGGAGGGCCATGCTTCGGCACGAATGGGTCGGGTCGACCGGAGTGATACCACTGCCTCACACAGAAAACCGGTGGTAGCAAACACAGCGTTGTGTTTTGCCGTGTGAGTGAGGTTACCGTAGGCCCAATCCTTTCCATCCTTCAATTCCTCCCCAAAACCAAAATTTCCAAATCCCTAATCAAAAGGTCGGCAAATGCTCCGTTGTTGCGACTTCGAGATTATAAAAATTGTTATTAATAGGTATTATTTTCTATTCACCTAAATGAAAACACTACTTTGTAAACAAAATTTGTTTGCTGTTTAGGTACTTTTTGAAGTCGGCTTTTTTTTGTTAAAAATGATTTTATAATACATGCACTCAAAGTTTAATTGCTCAAGCTTTGAGATCTATATTTAATTAGGAAACTCCACTGCATCCATTCATATATTTACTATAGAAAGCTAAACATAACCTTGAGTGTACTTCTGTACGTCTGTGTGTATTCTGTTGTTCTTTGACTTTGAATTATGAATGCATACATACATACGTTAAACTTATCTTAAGAACAAAATATTCATCAAAAAAGAAAACGAAACAATCTGAAATTGAATTGGCATTCGACTTATAAGCTCAGACAGGGACATGATCCCTTTAAATTCGTTTAACTATATTGATATTCATTTGGCAGGTGCATTCTCTCGCTGACATTTCATAACAACCGATACCGGGACAAACGTCGATGAGGTGGTCCAATTTGCAACTGAGAATGGAAAGACGATTATTGTATTGACAACAGCAAATCAAAATAGACATATCCAATATAAAATGACTACGTAACACATACAGTTTGTACACAGAAAGGGCTCAAGAGAATTGGAATTAAATGGTCAGATGCGCAATGGAATATTCTTCGAATAAATAAATAGTACACGTGGCTAGAACAAAGATCTGATGGTCAGAGCTGAGACCACCCAACTGCGACCGACTGTAAATGCCAACTGCAAATTAATTTCAATCCAATATCACTTACAGAACATAATATTGGAACACTATGGTCCCCTACACTATCGCGAGGTTTCACAGTATCCAGTAAAGTACGAATATCATGCAACCAACTTAAACAGTCACTTAAAAGTGTCGCTAGTTTCTTCGGCAATAAAGATTCATATCGATATTTTGTTTTACGTTTTATTAGTTCCATTTTTGGTCACCTGTTCAGATAAACTTGTAACGATATATTTATAACGATGGTACATAAAGTGAGAGGCTATACAGAATTGTCAAGGATGCGAGAAATTAATTTTAAAATACAATTCGAACCATTAAATGGTATATTTTACGAGTATTATCCAATTATTTTAAAATAAATATCATTATAATTAGTAGATATTATAATAAAATTATTGCTTGTATATTTAAAGTGGTTGTTCATGTTTTATGTTTTTAAAATGTGTTGGAATTTAATAATGTATTTGTGAATACCTATGATACTTATTTCTTTGAGTTTATTACTTCTAGTACTTGTTTCGTGAAAATATCACAGTAGGTAAACTTTGATGTGAAGGAAAAGGACACCATTTAGAACTTTCCAAATGTGCCAAATTCAACCTTATAACACAGCAATAAAGCAATCTATTCATTAAAGATTTTCGATATACTAGCGTTTAAATAAAACGTAAGAAGTGAAAATCCATCACGAGATCTTCATGTAACAAATATTATTCCTTTCACAATCGTTTCCTCATTACTTTCATGTACTGATGCGAACGTAAAGATGCGACTTAATGTTTTCGTAGTACACTACGATGTGACGTGATTTAATGGCCGACATCCAGAGAAAGTGAATTCAATTCGATGTTATAAAGTACATCGTGTGTATACATATATATATACTCAGATATACATACATATATCATAACTATCTTCTTCAAAAGCTAGTCGATAGATATCGATGACACAAGATTTTTTTCTCCAAAATCGCCTAAAAGTGGACAAAAACAAAAGTACGTAGTTTCTCAAAATAACTACGTGTAAAGAAGAGTCTCCAAGATCCAAACAAGGTCTTATTATTCTACGGAAAACAAAATATTATACATCATTACCATCATAAGCATAATATCGAAAAGCCGTCCACACCTGGACAGAGGCCTCCTCGATAACGAATTTCCTATACTTTGCCCATGGTAAGGCGGTAAACTCTTACTGACTAAAAACATTTTCTGCCACTTGAGCACAGACGTCGGATTGGCGATGTCTGTTTTTTTTAATAAATATCGCTAATGGCTCTATTTACTGTCCCAAACTTGTCGCAACGTTAAAGCTGGGTACTAATAGGATTGCTTTTCGACAGCGGCCATTGTTGCACGTATCTTTCCCAACAACAAATTATAGACGTAACGCATTTACTCTCAGCGCTGCACTCACTTTTAACCAACTTCCACGAACACCCGTGTTCCTTTTCCTGCTCAAGGCCGAGGCCTTGGTGCCTTGTTGCACTTATCCCACAACCCTGGTGTCACATGCCAGAAAAAACTGACCCATAATAAAATAGTCTAGTTGCTTATTGACACGCTGTTCATCCCAACGTATACAAATTACATTCTATATTCAAATGAATTGTACGGAAGGTAGTGAACAGGACAACAGAACAACCTTAAACAAAGAAGATAAACTTTTTTTCCTGTACTTTTTATTTAAGTTAGCTAAAAAGATTAAAACGACTTACCGAAACCTTTATAAAAAAGAGATTTATAACAGTACCCGTAATAACTGGTTGTGACTCCTTAACTCTACTGGTGATGGTTATCTGTTCAGACGTCTCAATTACCAGGCTCTCAGAAGACCGTGGAGACAACTGTCCGCAGTTTATGAACGGACATGTTCCGTATGTCATTTGTAAGTAATAGCTGTTTGGTGGATGAGATATATCTTAATGTCGATGTAATAAAGAATAAAACCGTAATAAAAATAACAAAAATGTTATAGTATTGTGTTTTATATTTGTTTTTTGTTACTTTTGGTGCTTGCCTGTGGTCCTAAACTGGGTTAATAAATACAACATTTCGCTGTTTTTAGTATTTGTACCTTTTTTACCACAGAATAAGGTACGATTTCCGTTTAAAATGTATGTAACGTATTGCTGTAATACTTCATCAACGGGCAGAATTTCAAAAGTGAAAAATACATACCATAAAGCTCAAAATTACTTAATTATATTAACTATTAATTTTCAATGCGAAATTAATATCGCACTTCAACTTAAGGGAAAGCACCGTTCACCAGTCTCGTCATTCAACACAAATTGCGCCTTTAAATAATATAATCTAGTGAGAGGACAGCTAAAGAATGAGACCCTATTAAAACCATAGTACTTATTACTTACACGTAAGGAACATTATAAAAAAACGTCATTACATTCGTTGTACCGAGCACGAACAATACATGATATATGTAACTTCCCTTGGGGTAACACAGTATCGATGAAAAAACGGTTAAAAAAAACTCCGTGCTTCGTTTCTGAGACTTGTTATTCTATAATTCGTGTGTCCCTCGGGCCCGTAATAACAGTAATAAGATGTGCCACGGCCACCATAAGTCACAGCGCGCTGTAAACCGACGCAGGCGCCCTCATTAAAAGAACTTAGTAACTACACATGAAATATATTTTAATTTCATGCGTGAAATGTCAAACTGTTATGTCTTCAAACATGTTTCGCTATTTAAAGATAGAAATATGAAGATTTTTTAATTAAATGTCCCATAAAAATCAAGGAATAGTAAGAAACTGCATTTTTTATAAACTTACATAGAGTATTAGTTTATATAAAGGAGTTACACCTTTTTTGTCTCGTCTTTAGGTAGTCGTATATGCATCTGATTATAATAAATCTATATTTGTTTCAACACGATTCCGTTTTTAAATACAAGTGAATAAATTTATCATAACGCTACAAGGATCCGTAAACTATAAATGACAAAAATTTGTATTTATTTTCAAAGGATAGTTTCATACTGTTTCAACAAATACTATTGTTACGATACTGGTTTTGCAAAACTCTCATTAAATACCTGTCAAAATATCATAGAGTTACAAGCTGAAGGGAGCATAATGAAGAAAGTAACAGCTTCATTATGTGGAAATAACGAGTGTACTGTATTTAATAGGTTCCCAGTCGCCTTCGGATCGAAGCAGCCGCATTGTGTGGTTAAAATAAAACACACTTATGACACAGTGCAACAGTGGGAGCCGTCACGTTTCTCCTCGTCTCTCCTCGAGTCTCCCACAGTACTAGTCACGAACTTATACTTCACTTAATTAACGTAAATAAGACAGTTTTGCGAATGAAAAAACAAACGGGGCCGAGAGGTCGACGTTTCTGAAACCGGATTCGCGGATTTTAAACCGAAGCACAGTCGGCGACGTCTTAGGCCACACTTTATGTCACTTTTTATTTTTAATGAGAGTTTTTATCGTGACACTAATAATCCCGGGTGAAATTAATTTAACCATACCGTAATTATTAGACAGCGGGCAAAGTGGCCGTAAATGCTCCAGTCCACAGGAAAAATAAATGTTGGTCCATTAATTACTCGTTATGGTTTACGATTCACATTTTATTTCAAATTATATAGTGGAAAAATGACATACACATCTTTTATCACGTATTTTTGTACTGTACTGGGTAGTAAAAGGCTCTTAAACATTTATTAATAATCAATAGAGCAATAACTAGACTTAAGTGGTTTTAAAAATCATTGCAATTACAGTAATCTGCAGACGTTCCTTATACGCTTGCACCGTTATAACCCTTCGCATGCCATCCAGGTACAAAGTACAAAATGCAAGTCAGTGCGGTCGAATGCACCCCAAATTATAAACGCTCTCTACCGTGAATGGATTTGCGAGACAGCGATGAAAGACAACCGCCATACTGCTATATTTAAAATGCCTTGCTTGCAATTTATTATGTCAGTGCAACAACATAATTGTGGCCAGTAATGTACTTTAAAGCTTTCAGTACCTTGATTAATAATTAAAAGTAAAAATATAAAAGTTCTTAGAATAATTCGGTCTCTTTCTTCTTTCCATTCTTTCCCATGGAAGTAAATTGAGGTTCACACTGAGAATTTTGCTAAAGTGTTTATTTTTTTACACACACATATCACATACTATACTACATATATGAAGGTTCACAATAGTTAAAAAAAACCTAGGAGAACTTACGTTAAGATTTCTTCAATGATTTGAATTTAGGTTGCCCATTATTTTATTTGACCGTCTTAAGTCCCCGGGCCACGACTGGAACGTGCAAATTTCAAAATAGTATAGAAAATTATCGTATTGTGGTGGCCCAGGGGTAATGTCCCGCTTCTCATGCATGAGGCATTCGAATCCTAGCTAGTACTTACTAATGTGACATTTTCTTTTTATGGTTATTTAGATACAGGCATACTCTGAAGGAAAACAGCATGAGGAAGAAACTTGAACCTGTAATTTCTAATTATGAATTTGAAATCGCCAATCTTCCTTGTGCAAGCGTAGATACTGATTAATGTTCAAACCTTCTCCATATGAAAGAAGCCTTTGATCAGCAGTGGTCACTCATAGGCTGATGAGTATGTTGATGATTGAAAAATATTAAAATATAAAATACATTTAAAAACTTAGTTTTCTTAACAACAAAATTAATATGAGCCATTCCAACACGTAATTTTTCAACTGTAATAATATGAGATGAAATTACAATTCCATTTCATATTTACACGAAAATTGCATTGCCGTGTTTACCAAGAGGGATTGCATGTGGAGTGCTTGACCACCTCAGTACAATTACGGTAATAACGTTAATCAAATCACGAAGCTTCGGCAAATTATTTCGGCTTTCACAATTTTAGTGCAATATGAGACAAGTTGAAAATATATCTAAATTGAGAAATAAAATATTTAATACTTACATTAACATTTTCAAAAACGTCAAACAAAGATTGAAGATAAAAAAGATCAGTTCTCTTAGTGAAGCTATTTGCTCGTTTCAAGGTGTAGATTCCGATGGAGAAGAACAATCAAGTTTTTTTTTTATATCAGATTACTTCATTTATATCAGTTTTACATATAGGTGATGTTTGATACGTTATTAGGTTGGTTCAATTATGTGGGAACAGTGAAACACCTATATTTAGTCAAAGTAACGGAAGAAGAAAATAACAAAAACCTAAGTACAATAATTACCTTACCAATAATATTTCGAACCCGACTAACAAAAAAGTACATCGCTAATATCTGTTCGTGTCAACATATTATTTTATTTGTGAGTTAAATTGTGCTGGACTTCTCTATAAAATAAGAATTTCGAATTATCTTCATGCTATTGGAGGATTGGAGAATTTTGAGATCGCAGCTCAAAAGGATCATGTTTATCAGGGAGTATTGATGCCGGGTTCTCTTAAATACGCATGCTCTTAATCGACTTTTTTTGACACCCAACACCCACCACCCACAGAAAGATAGAAATACAAAAAAAAATCTAATTCGTCGACCTTAGAAAGCAATACATTCTGTATGTTGTTCTTTTTCATAACTAAAGATACACATTTTTTTAAGAGTAATAGTAATATATAATATAACTAGGTTTTGCCCGCCATTCCGTTCGCGTGGAATAGTGACTTCCTGCAGATTTTTAAAAAAATATAATATTTGAAATAAAGGATTTTCAACTTTATTGTTTTGTCAAAAGTCAAAAATTTGGCTTGTATCTTCTATACTAAAAATTTATAAAAGCGGTTCGAAGTTGAAATTTTTAATTAAATTAATTCATAAAATTATATCAATTATGTACTTATATTGTTCTTCTATTGTGTCTCGTATAACCACGATTGAAATGTTAAATTGTCAATTTGAAGTGTGGGAGAGCCATGCTTCGGCACGAATGGGTCGGCTCGACCGGATTGATACCACAGCCTCAAAGAAACTTGCGTGACACAACCATAGAATTGTGTCTCGCCGTATGAGTGAGGTTACCGGAGGCCCAATCCTCTACCAATTCCAAAAAACTTCAAATCTCTAATCCCTAAAAGGTCGTCAACGCACTCGTAACTCATCCGTCCATGGGCGGCGCTGATTGCTTACCATCAGGTAATCCGTCTGCTCAAAAAATACCTATACCTACAAAAGTATATAAAACATGTTTGGAAATAAGCGGTTCGAAGTTTAAATTGTTAATAGCGCAGAGTACGTAACGTTCAGTAAGTACGGTGTGCGGTATTGCGCGAGAGTGGACCGGTCGGGGAGCGCATACGCACCTGCCCCGGGCACACGCCACTGAGGCGCGCCGCACACTGGCAGAAAAGGGTTAACTTACTATGAATTATTAAGTAATTACATTATTGCACATGACAAATTACATTTAGATGTAAATAAGGTCTTATTTGTACCTAATAAGTTTTATATTGCAATGTTACTGTGTAAGTGGACATGATGGAGAATTGAGAAAGATTTATAAGTACGAAGGATATTTGAAAAGGTTCAGAAGCTCTTTCAGCGGCTTGTGATTGCAAATTTTGAAAAAAAAAGAATACTTCATTTATCATCTATTGTAACGGAGACTGGTAAATCGATATTGACGCGCTAAACAACTGCTCGATACATAAAAAATGCGTTTCGAAGCGAAATAAAAAAACTTAGTCAAATCTTCTTAAAACATTTTTAAAAACGTTAAATACATACATTCTCTATACTCACATGAAAATAATCTACCGTAATAGAAACTGACGTTTTAAACTGCTTTTTTTCTATTCAAATTGTATTTGCAAATTTTCCAGATTAGTTATTCAAAAATAAAATTCGCTTACGCAACTCAGTGAACGCATTCCCTTTCCTGTCCTCGACTACGCTCTCAGATAAGCCGGG